TCATGACAACAAACTCACTTCAATCTGTTGGTTTTTTTCTTCTGTCTTTTCAGGTGTTGGTGGTCAGACTCTGACTGAATCTGAGCCGGTGGTTAAACGTCCTGGAGAATCCCACAGACTGACCTGTACAGCCTCTGGATTCACATTCAGTGGCAGCTGGATGGCCTGGGTCAGACAGGCTCCTGGAAAAGGACTGGACTGGATCTCTCTGATCAGATATGACAGTAATGAGATCTACTACTCTGAGTCAGTTAGAGGCCGGTTCACCATCTCCAGAGACAACAGCAGACAGCAGCTGTATCTGCAGATGAACAGTCTGAAGACTGAAGACTCTGCTGTTTATTACTGTGTACGGAGACCCACAACAACACAAACCATCTGTAGAGCTGAACAAAAACCCCTCAGAGCCTGAACACCTGTGACATGAAGCCACCAGAGGAGGAGCCCTCAGACCAACAATCATTTCTACATCAGCTTTTAATGACAGAAACTGTCTTTAAATGAGGTTTAAATATCAAATATACAAACTATATAGCTCCTCCACAGGGTAAAGTCTGGGTATTATCCTTGACAGCTCTCTATCATTCCAAGCTCACATCAGTAATATTACTCTGTCTGCATGTTTCAACTCTGCAACATCAACCCCCACTCCACCCCCCAACCCCCATACCACTTCTATCCTGGTCCACAGCCTTCCCACTGAGCAACAGACGGCTATTAGACATCTAGTATTTTTTAGACCTAATTTCAACCGTCTAGAGTCTGTATACTTTTAGACAGAATTTATACGTTGCACTTTAACCCATTATTTGATAACGATTTTTTTCAAAAAGCAACTGTGAGTTTCATAACTGATCTCCAAGTATTTAACCAAAATAATTATGATAGCCGTCAAGCAATATACAGTTATACCTCTGTTGGCCAGCTAGTCTTAAACTTGGTGTAAATTTAGACGTCTAAAAACTTTCATTTTTAGACCTGTGGTAGCCTGATTTTAGACCATTCGTCTAGGCTACATTTAGACGTCTATTAGACCTCTTTTAGACCAAAAAATGCTCGGTGGGTTGTTACCTCCTGTATTGATTACTGTGACTCTGGTCTTCCTCACAAATCTCTCCATAAACTAAAACTGGTTCAGAACTCAGCTGCTCCTATCGTCAACAAAACACCTTTATGCTTTTAAATAAAATGTATTATTAAAAAAAAGACATATGGGTGACTTGTATATATACAAATATGCAAAAAAATTAAGGGGAACAAAAGAGGTCCACACTCATTTAGTCTCTGAGAGGAGGAGTCAATGCAAAGTCAGCCGTCTTCCTCCTCTACTTCAGTGAGTGCAGAGAGGAGGACAGAGGACAGTGGACACTCAGTTTGACATGATGGACTATAGGACAGGACTGCTGCTTCTGACTGTCTGCTGGACAGGTGGAGATCATCACTAATCTGAGTTGGACTTTTTCACCTCATGACAACAAACTCACTTCAATCTGTTGGTTTTTTTCTTCTGTCTTTTCAGGTGTTGGTGGTCAGACTCTGACTGAATCTGAGCCGGTGGTTAAACGTCCTGGAGAATCCCACAGACTGACCTGTACAGCCTCTGGATTCTCATTGGGCAGCTACCATATGGCCTGGGTCGGACAGGCTCCTGGAAAAGGACTGGAGTGGCTGGCCTTGATTAATTCTGCTAGTAGTTACATCTACTACTCTGAGTCAGTTAGAGGCCGGTTCACCATCTCCAGAGACAACAGCAGACAGCAGCTGTATCTGCAGATGAACAGTCTGCAGACTGAAGACTCTGCTGTTTATTACTGTGCCAGAGACCCACAACAACACAAACCATCTGTAGAGCTGAACAAAAACCCCTCAGAGCCTGAACACCTGTGACATGAAGCCACCAGAGGAGGAGCCCTCAGACCAACAATCATCATAATGACTCTGGAAACTGTCAGAACTGTGACTCATATCTAAAGTACAATCATTAAAATACATCTTTCACTAAACCTGCTCAAACTGACATTTAAAATAAACATAACTGTCAAGTATTTATCTATGAATGAATGAATAATTATATCAAAGTTACACCTAAACAACTTCATCATCTTCAGGGCAGAACAGATCAGGGAGTCAGGGAAGTAGTGAGGTGGAGGGATCTACATGTATGTTAACAACAGGTGGTGTCACAACATCAAAATCCACAGCCGGGTCTGTACCAAGACCTGGAAATGTTGACCCTAATCCTTCATCCCTTTTACTTTCCAAGAAAGTTTCCCACTGTGGTGATCAGCTGTGTTTACAATCACCAACACAAACACCAAGGCTGCAGCTGAGCTCATGGCTAACTGTACTAGCAGCATGCAAGTGGAATTAGGACTAGGTAATTATATGATTGTAATTAATGATCGTGAAAAATTTCAGTTCGATCACGGTGATCAGCTGTGAGGATATTTACTCGATCAAACTTGGCGGAAATGTACGTGACAACAGCCAATCAGAGTCGAGCTTCTCCTGCTCACTTCTGTACTTTGACAGAGAAGTAAACAGAATGACCGAACGTGGAGCTAAACGTGGAGCTGAGGTCAGCAAAATAGATGTCAGCCATGACTTTGAGTCATCGTCCGAAGATGTTATTGCTTAGAAGATAAGTTAATCAACGTCGGTTGAGTGGTGGTGGTTCGGGTATCTCAAGATTGATGTTGAGCAATTAAGCTGATGTGTAAGGTATGTCGGCGGTCAGTTCCCTCAAAAACCAGCAACACAACAAATCTGTTTAATTATTTGAAGAAGTTCTTCCCGAGTGATTGTGAAGAATGCATTAAAATGTGGGAATTCTGCACAGCCAGTCACTGCTGACGACAAAAGTATGAAATCATTTAATAATCAAGTTTAATTTTATAACCTGATCTGTCAGGTTACAGGCAGTGTAAGAAGTAAAAGGAAATGAGATCAATCTCTGAGGAGGAGTCAATGCAAAGTCAGCCGTCTTCCTCCTCTACTTCAGTGAGTGCAGAGAGGAGGACAGAGGACAGTGGACACTCAGTTTGACATGATGGACTATAGGACAGGACTGCTGCTTCTGACTGTCTGCTGGACAGGTGGAGATCATCACTAATCTGAGTTGGACTTTTTCACCTCATGACAACAAACTCACTTCAATCTGTTGGTTTTTTTCTTCTGTCTTTTCAGGTGTTGGTGGTCAGACTCTGACTGAATCTGAGCCGGTGGTTAAACGTCCTGGAGAATCCCACAGACTGACCTGTACAGCCTCTGGATTCTCATTCAGTAGCTACCAAATGGCCTGGATCAGACAGGCTCCTGGAAAAGGACTGGAGTGGATCGCTTTTATAGGCACCGGTAGTAGCACCTACTACTCTGAGTCAGTTAGAGGCCGGTTCACCATCTCCAGAGACAACAGCAGACAGCAGCTGTATCTGCAGATGAACAGTCTGAAGACTGAAGACTCTGCTGTTTATTACTGTGCCAGAGACCCACAACAACACAAACCATCTGTAGAGCTGAACAAAAACCCCTCAGAGCCTGAACACCTGTGACATGAAGCCACCAGAGGAGGAGCCCTCAGACCAACAATCATCATAATGACTCTGGAAACTGTCAGAACTGTGACAGGTGGAGATCATCACTAATCTGAGTTGGACTTTTTCACCTCATGACAACAAACTCACTTCAATCTGTTGGTTTTTTTCTTCTGTCTTTTCAGGTGTTGGTGGTCAGACTCTGACTGAATCTGAGCCGGTGGTTAAACGTCCTGGAGAATCCCACAGACTGACCTGTACAGCCTCTGGATTCACATTCAGCAGCTACTATATGAACTGGATCAGACAGGCTCCTGGAAAAGGACTGCAGTGGATCTCTACTATCACACGACAGTAGTAGCACCTACTACTCTGAGTCAGTTAGAGGCCGGTTCACCATCTCCAGAGACAACAGCAGACAGCAGCTGTATCTGCAGATGAACAGTCTGAAGACTGAAGACTCTGCTGTTTATTACTGTGCCAGACACCCACAACAACACAAACCATCTGTAGAGCTGAACAAAAACCCCTCAGAGCCTGAACACCTGTGACATGAAGCCACCAGAGGAGGAGCCCTCAGACCAACAATCATTTCTACATCAGCTTTTAATGACAGAAACTGTCTTTAAATGAGGTTTAAATATCAAATATACAAACTATATAGAAACCTCATCCTCATACTTACATTAACACTGAAACTCATTTATTCCTGATTTTATATTTTATATGAAAAAAAAACACATTTAACAATAACTCCATTTTTGTCTTATAGACTCATAACAAGTTTGAGACACACTGTCTAAGTTGGAAAGTTGATGTTTTTGCAGAGTCATGTTTCTGAATCTGCAGTCATCGAGCTGAATCTCTAAACTCTAAAAACTGACAAAATTCACTCACTGTGTTTTTGTTTGTTTTGATCTGAAAATATGAACAAAGTCAGTTTTTGTCCAGGGAGATAAAGACGTGTGTATTCATGAGTTTAGTATCAACTAACAGGAAAAAGGAGAGAGAGCTGTCCTCAATATTCAAAACTATAAAACTGTTAGTTGTAAGTGGTCTTTCACTGTCTAGGCTGTATTGTGACAGAGGAAAAAGTGCTTAGAAAGTGAATCTCGTTCCACTTCAGTGGGGCAACATAAACTGTGATTCATAAAATAGCTCTATTGACAGTAAGTACTAAAAAAAATATCTACTCATGCTTACTATCAATAGAGCTATTTTATGAATCACAGTTTATGTTGCCCCACTGAAGTGGAACGAACCAACACGATCTCACTCAGCCAATACAGCCTAGTCTGACTGTCTGCAGTTTCAAAGACCACAAATGAGATTTAAAGCAGAACAAAAGAGGTCCACACTCATTTAGTCTCTGAGAGGAGGAGTCAATGCAAAGTCAGCCGTCTTCCTCCTCTACTTCAGTGAGTGCAGAGAGGAGGACAGAGGACAGTGGACACTCAGTTTGACATGATGGACTATAGGACAGGACTGCTGCTTCTGACTGTCTGCTGGACAGGTGGAGATCATCACTAATCTGAGTTGGACTTTTTCACCTCATGACAACAAACTCACTTCAATCTGTTGGTTTTTTTCTTCTGTCTTTTCAGGTGTTGGTGGTCAGACTCTGACTGAATCTGAGCCGGTGGTTAAACGTCCTGGAGAATCCCACAGACTGACCTGTACAGCCTCTGGATTCACATTCAGCAGCTACCGTATGGTCTGGGTCAGACAGGCTCCTGGAAAAGGACTGGAGTGGATTGCTTTTATACACACAAGCAGTTCTCATATCTATTTCTCCCAGTCAGTCCAGGGCAGATTCACCATCTCCAGAGATGACTCCAGCAGTAAAGTCTACCTACAGATGAACAGTCTGAAGACTGAGGACACAGCAGTGTATTACTGTGCCCGCAGACCCACAGTGAGAGACGAGAACAGGAGAGACGTACAAAAACTACTTCCTCTTTTTAACACACTGACAACATTCATTAGTTTCAGGAATGAAAAAGGAGAGCACTGATCAGGTTTTAGACTCAGAAATGTCTTTTTCCTCAGGAGCTTCATTTACACAACATAGAAAAGTGTTTGTAATAAAGTGAAGCAGATTAAATTCATTCAGTTTTCATGAGTTTCATGTAGAGGGTGATGACAGACCATCTTTTCTTTGGTAAAGCAGATCTCATCATCTCTAAAGTGGGTTTGGATCCTCAATATTCTGTAAACAGGGCTCAGAGAAAACCCCATAATGACTCCAACAGCTTCTGATTCAGCAGCTGAACAGCATCTATGTTGGTATAATGGTGAGCATCATAATGTGAGCTAAAGATAAAACCAGTTATTATTATTATCAGATTAACTGAACACGGTGAAATGAACCAGCAAAGATTTGTACAAATACTCAGCAGCAAATGAATAAAAGGTAATCCCTCCAGAAACGACTGAGCCTGAACCTTTAAGCAGAAAAATCCTCTTTAAAAAGCCTGATGTATAAAACGCCAGCTGAGGAGGAACAAGTCCTTCCATTTCTGTATCATCATTTCTTTTCCTTCACATCTGTAACCTGATATCCTGAAAAAAAAGGACATCTGTTTCAAAAGGTTTCCATCTCTGGATAGACAGTGATCCTCTTCACCTTGTTGAACCTGATTAGAACAGAGCTGAGTTCAGGAGCCACTCCCATGTTACCCTGATGCAAATGTTCAGTGTGTGCAGAGTACTTCTGTCCGGCCTGCTGCTCTCCTACTTTGTGTGGAGCGTCAGAGGTCACATCTGCAGCCTCAGGATGATGATGATGGACACACTCACTCTTCTCCTGGTTGCTCTCTCTCTGCCCTGTTAGTTCTTATACTTCTTCATCTTTTATCTTCATCAGAAAACCTCCTCTGATGGTCATCACTGGTACCAGAAAACTCTGTGACTGTATGACTCTCTGACTTTCTCCTGTGGTTCCTCTCTGCTTGTATCTCATCAGGTTCTGCAGGTCAGAGCATGGAGTCTCTTCCTTCCAGTTCGGTCCTGAAGAGGCCTGGGGAGACTCTCAGTCTCTCCTGTAGGGGGTCAGGCTTCACTTTTAGCTGCTGTGTTATGAGCTGGATCAGACAACCAACAGGACAAGCACTGGAGTGGATAGAGAGCGGCTTCTCAACTCAAAGCAGGAACACTTATGTCAGCAGATTGTCAGGTCGAGTAGAAATCAGCAGAGAAGACAGCAGCAGCATGGTGTATCTGAGACTGTCCAACTTACAGCCTGGAGACTCTGCTGTTAATTACTGTGCCCGCAGAGACACACTGGTTAAAGTTCAGAGGCTGCACAAAAACTCCACATTAAATGTCCTCCTAACAGAAACCTACAGGTGGCAGCAGAGGACATGAAGAAGAGTGGGACACACTCAAACACTCATGCATGAACACATGAAAACAGCTGTTCTGTGGTTTATGACTTCCTGTTTCTTATTTCTTCACACTGACAAAAAGGAAATTATCAAGACCATCAAGGTCAATCATGTCATCCCTGGTTTATAACAGCAGTTATTGATCATCTATTTGGTTGTTTAAATCCCGTTTCACGAGATGAGAGCAGAGAAGAAAGGAGTCGATGCAAATCTCTGATCTCTGCCATCACTGCATCACCGGCAACTTACAGAAGTGAGCAGGAAAAGCTCGACTGTGATTGGCTGTTGTCACATGCATTTCAGCAACGTTTGATCAAGTAAATATGCTCAAAGCTGATCACCATGATCGATCAAAAATTTATCACGATCATATAACCGCCCAGTCCTACTGTGAGACCAAAATGGAGTTATTAATGAAGACAAATTATGAGAAAATTAAGGAAAATATATTTAAACCAAAAAACATGAAGGTGACATTAATTTACTCTCTGAGAGGAGGAGTCAATGCAAAGTCAGCCGTCTTCCTCCTCTACTTCAGTGAGTGCAGAGAGGAGGACAGAGGACAGTGGACACTCAGTTTGACATGATGGACTATAGGACAGGACTGCTGCTTCTGACTGTCTGCTGGACAGGTGGAGATCATCACTAATCTGAGTTGGACTTTTTCACCTCATGACAACAAACTCACTTCAATCTGTTGGTTTTTTTCTTCTGTCTTTTCAGGTGTTGGTGGTCAGACTCTGACTGAATCTGAGCCGGTGGTTAAACGTCCTGGAGAATCCCACAGACTGACCTGTACAGCCTCTGGATTCACATTCAGTGGCAGCTGGATGGCCTGGGTCAGACAGGCTCCTGGAAAAGGACTGGACTGGATCTCTCTGATCAGATATGACAGTAATGAGATCTACTACTCTGAGTCAGTTAGAGGCCGGTTCACCATCTCCAGAGACAACAGCAGACAGCAGCTGTATCTGCAGATGAACAGTCTGAAGACTGAAGACTCTGCTGTTTATTACTGTGTACGGAGACCCACAACAACACAAACCATCTGTAGAGCTGAACAAAAACCCCTCAGAGCCTGAACACCTGTGACATGAAGCCACCAGAGGAGGAGCCCTCAGACCAACAATCATTTCTACATCAGCTTTTAATGACAGAAACTGTCTTTAAATGAGGTTTAAATATCAAATATACAAACTATATAGCTCCTCCACAGGGTAAAGTCTGGGTATTATCCTTGACAGCTCTCTATCATTCCAAGCTCACATCAGTAATATTACTCTGTCTGCATGTTTCAACTCTGCAACATCAACCCCCACTCCACCCCCCAACCCCCATACCACTTCTATCCTGGTCCACAGCCTTCCCACTGAGCAACAGACGGCTATTAGACATCTAGTATTTTTTAGACCTAATTTCAACCGTCTAGAGTCTGTATACTTTTAGACAGAATTTATACGTTGCACTTTAACCCATTATTTGATAACGATTTTTTTCAAAAAGCAACTGTGAGTTTCATAACTGATCTCCAAGTATTTAACCAAAATAATTATGATAGCCGTCAAGCAATATACAGTTATACCTCTGTTGGCCAGCTAGTCTTAAACTTGGTGTAAATTTAGACGTCTAAAAACTTTCATTTTTAGACCTGTGGTAGCCTGATTTTAGACCATTCGTCTAGGCTACATTTAGACGTCTATTAGACCTCTTTTAGACCAAAAAATGCTCGGTGGGTTGTTACCTCCTGTATTGATTACTGTGACTCTGGTCTTCCTCACAAATCTCTCCATAAACTAAAACTGGTTCAGAACTCAGCTGCTCCTATCGTCAACAAAACACCTTTATGCTTTTAAATAAAATGTATTATTAAAAAAAGACATATGGGTGACTTGTATATATACAAATATGCAAAAAAATTAAGGGGAACAAAAGAGGTCCACACTCATTTAGTCTCTGAGAGGAGGAGTCAATGCAAAGTCAGCCGTCTTCCTCCTCTACTTCAGTGAGTGCAGAGAGGAGGACAGAGGACAGTGGACACTCAGTTTGACATGATGGACTATAGGACAGGACTGCTGCTTCTGACTGTCTGCTGGACAGGTGGAGATCATCACTAATCTGAGTTGGACTTTTTCACCTCATGACAACAAACTCACTTCAATCTGTTGGTTTTTTTCTTCTGTCTTTTCAGGTGTTGGTGGTCAGACTCTGACTGAATCTGAGCCGGTGGTTAAACGTCCTGGAGAATCCCACAGACTGACCTGTACAGCCTCTGGATTCTCATTGGGCAGCTACCATATGGCCTGGGTCGGACAGGCTCCTGGAAAAGGACTGGAGTGGCTGGCCTTGATTAATTCTGCTAGTAGTTACATCTACTACTCTGAGTCAGTTAGAGGCCGGTTCACCATCTCCAGAGACAACAGCAGACAGCAGCTGTATCTGCAGATGAACAGTCTGCAGACTGAAGACTCTGCTGTTTATTACTGTGCCAGAGACCCACAACAACACAAACCATCTGTAGAGCTGAACAAAAACCCCTCAGAGCCTGAACACCTGTGACATGAAGCCACCAGAGGAGGAGCCCTCAGACCAACAATCATCATAATGACTCTGGAAACTGTCAGAACTGTGACTCATATCTAAAGTACAATCATTAAAATACATCTTTCACTAAACCTGCTCAAACTGACATTTAAAATAAACATAACTGTCAAGTATTTATCTATGAATGAATGAATAATTATATCAAAGTTACACCTAAACAACTTCATCATCTTCAGGGCAGAACAGATCAGGGAGTCAGGGAAGTAGTGAGGTGGAGGGATCTACATGTATGTTAACAACAGGTGGTGTCACAACATCAAAATCCACAGCCGGGTCTGTACCAAGACCTGGAAATGTTGACCCTAATCCTTCATCCCTTTTACTTTCCAAGAAAGTTTCCCACTGTGGTGATCAGCTGTGTTTACAATCACCAACACAAACACCAAGGCTGCAGCTGAGCTCATGGCTAACTGTACTAGCAGCATGCAAGTGGAATTAGGACTAGGTAATTATATGATTGTAATTAATGATCGTGAAAAATTTCAGTTCGATCACGGTGATCAGCTGTGAGGATATTTACTCGATCAAACTTGGCGGAAATGTACGTGACAACAGCCAATCAGAGTCGAGCTTCTCCTGCTCACTTCTGTACTTTGACAGAGAAGTAAACAGAATGACCGAACGTGGAGCTAAACGTGGAGCTGAGGTCAGCATAATAGATGTCAGCCATGACTTTGAGTCATCGTCCGAAGATGTTATTGCTTAGAAGATAAGTTAATCAACGTCGGTTGAGTGGTGGTGGTTCGGGTATCTCAAGATTGATGTTGAGCAATTAAGCTGATGTGTAAGGTATGTCGGCGGTCAGTTCCCTCAAAAACCAGCAACACAACAAATCTGTTTAATTATTTGAAGAAGTTCTTCCCGAGTGATTGTGAAGAATGCATTAAAATGTGGGAATTCTGCACAGCCAGTCACTGCTGACGACAAAAGTATGAAATCATTTAATAATCAAGTTTAATTTTATAACCTGATCTGTCAGGTTACAGGCAGTGTAAGAAGTAAAAGGAAATGAGATCAATCTCTGAGGAGGAGTCAATGCAAAGTCAGCCGTCTTCCTCCTCTACTTCAGTGAGTGCAGAGAGGAGGACAGAGGACAGTGGACACTCAGTTTGACATGATGGACTATAGGACAGGACTGCTGCTTCTGACTGTCTGCTGGACAGGTGGAGATCATCACTAATCTGAGTTGGACTTTTTCACCTCATGACAACAAACTCACTTCAATCTGTTGGTTTTTTTCTTCTGTCTTTTCAGGTGTTGGTGGTCAGACTCTGACTGAATCTGAGCCGGTGGTTAAACGTCCTGGAGAATCCCACAGACTGACCTGTACAGCCTCTGGATTCTCATTCAGTAGCTACCAAATGGCCTGGATCAGACAGGCTCCTGGAAAAGGACTGGAGTGGATCGCTTTTATAGGCACCGGTAGTAGCACCTACTACTCTGAGTCAGTTAGAGGCCGGTTCACCATCTCCAGAGACAACAGCAGACAGCAGCTGTATCTGCAGATGAACAGTCTGAAGACTGAAGACTCTGCTGTTTATTACTGTGCCAGAGACCCACAACAACACAAACCATCTGTAGAGCTGAACAAAAACCCCTCAGAGCCTGAACACCTGTGACATGAAGCCACCAGAGGAGGAGCCCTCAGACCAACAATCATCATAATGACTCTGGAAACTGTCAGAACTGTGACAGGTGGAGATCATCACTAATCTGAGTTGGACTTTTTCACCTCATGACAACAAACTCACTTCAATCTGTTGGTTTTTTTCTTCTGTCTTTTCAGGTGTTGGTGGTCAGACTCTGACTGAATCTGAGCCGGTGGTTAAACGTCCTGGAGAATCCCACAGACTGACCTGTACAGCCTCTGGATTCACATTCAGCAGCTACTATATGAACTGGATCAGACAGGCTCCTGGAAAAGGACTGCAGTGGATCTCTACTATCACACGACAGTAGTAGCACCTACTACTCTGAGTCAGTTAGAGGCCGGTTCACCATCTCCAGAGACAACAGCAGACAGCAGCTGTATCTGCAGATGAACAGTCTGAAGACTGAAGACTCTGCTGTTTATTACTGTGCCAGACACCCACAACAACACAAACCATCTGTAGAGCTGAACAAAAACCCCTCAGAGCCTGAACACCTGTGACATGAAGCCACCAGAGGAGGAGCCCTCAGACCAACAATCATTTCTACATCAGCTTTTAATGACAGAAACTGTCTTTAAATGAGGTTTAAATATCAAATATACAAACTATATAGAAACCTCATCCTCATACTTACATTAACACTGAAACTCATTTATTCCTGATTTTATATTTTATATGAAAAAAAAACACATTTAACAATAACTCCATTTTTGTCTTATAGACTCATAACAAGTTTGAGACACACTGTCTAAGTTGGAAAGTTGATGTTTTTGCAGAGTCATGTTTCTGAATCTGCAGTCATCGAGCTGAATCTCTAAACTCTAAAAACTGACAAAATTCACTCACTGTGTTTTTGTTTGTTTTGATCTGAAAATATGAACAAAGTCAGTTTTTGTCCAGGGAGATAAAGACGTGTGTATTCATGAGTTTAGTATCAACTAACAGGAAAAAGGAGAGAGAGCTGTCCTCAATATTCAAAACTATAAAACTGTTAGTTGTAAGTGGTCTTTCACTGTCTAGGCTGTATTGTGACAGAGGAAAAAGTGCTTAGAAAGTGAATCTCGTTCCACTTCAGTGGGGCAACATAAACTGTGATTCATAAAATAGCTCTATTGACAGTAAGTACTAAAAAAAATATCTACTCATGCTTACTATCAATAGAGCTATTTTATGAATCACAGTTTATGTTGCCCCACTGAAGTGGAACGAACCAACACGATCTCACTCAGCCAATACAGCCTAGTCTGACTGTCTGCAGTTTCAAAGACCACAAATGAGATTTAAAGCAGAACAAAAGAGGTCCACACTCATTTAGTCTCTGAGAGGAGGAGTCAATGCAAAGTCAGCCGTCTTCCTCCTCTACTTCAGTGAGTGCAGAGAGGAGGACAGAGGACAGTGGACACTCAGTTTGACATGATGGACTATAGGACAGGACTGCTGCTTCTGACTGTCTGCTGGACAGGTGGAGATCATCACTAATCTGAGTTGGACTTTTTCACCTCATGACAACAAACTCACTTCAATCTGTTGGTTTTTTTCTTCTGTCTTTTCAGGTGTTGGTGGTCAGACTCTGACTGAATCTGAGCCGGTGGTTAAACGTCCTGGAGAATCCCACAGACTGACCTGTACAGCCTCTGGATTCACATTCAGCAGCTACTATATGGCCTGGGTCAGACAGGCTCCTGGAAAAGGACTGGAGTGGATGGCCTGGATTAATACTGGTAGTAGTAGCATCTACTACTTTGAGTCAGTTAGAGGCCGGTTCACCATCTCCAGAGACGACAGCAGACAGCAGCTGTATCTGCAGATGAACAGTCTGAAGACTGAAGACTCTGCTGTTTATTACTGTGCCAGAGACCCACAACAACACAAACCATCTGTAGAGCTGAACAAAAACCCCTCAGAGCCTGAACACCTGTGACATGAAGCCACCAGAGGAGGAGCCCTCAGACCAACAATCATCATAATGACTCTGTAAACTGTCACAACTGTGACTCATATCTAAAGTACAATCATTAAAATAACATCTTTTACTAAACCTGCTCAAACTGACATTTAAAAACACAACTGTCAAGTATTTATCCATGAATGAATGAATAAATACATACAGTGGATATAAAAAGTCTACACAACCTTGTTTAACTGCCAGGTTTTCGTCATGTAAAAAAAATCAAGATAAACAATTTCAGATCTTCTTCCACCTTTAATGTGACCTATAACCTGTACAACACAATTGAAAAACAAACAGAAATCTTTCAGGGAGGTGAAGTAAAAATAAACAACTGAGATCATGTGGTTTCATAAGTGTGTACACCCTTTAATAACCAGGGATGTAGCTGTGTTCAGATTTAACCAATAACATTCAAACTCAGGTTAAATTGGAGTCAGCACACACCTGTCACCAATTAAAGTGACTCTGATTAACGTTAAAGTTCAGCTGTTCTAGTAGCTTTTCCAGACATTTTTGTAGACACATCTTCCAGCACAAACCATGGTCTGCAGAGAGCTTCCAAAGAACCAGAGGGATCTCATTATTCAAAGATCTCAGTCAGGTGAGGCTACAAAAGAATTTCCAAGGAATTAAATATACCATGGAACACAGTGAAGACCGTCATCATCAAGTGGAGAAAATATGGAACAACAGTGACAATACCAAGAACAGGACGTCCGTCCAAAATTGATGATAAGACAAGAAGAAAACTGGTCAGGGAGGATACCAAGAGGCCGACAGCAACACTGAAGG